CTGGTCATTATGGAAATCATGGGGCCTCTCCCAATGATTTCCTTTCCTATGTTCAACAGTGATGTTGATGATGATCTCCGTCAGGACCCTCACTTCCGCCTTTCCGAGTCGCACGCAATGTTTTTACAAATGTTCCGATTCAGGTAAATCTTGTTAGGGCATCCACCGATCCATCTTCGATACTTATCGGGGATAAGTCAAAATGCTAAAATGCGTAAACATGCCACTGATGGTCTCATAATTAATTTTTAAACGAAACACGAACACAAAAATCATAGGTAACACCACAGAAACACCTATTGTTGCTCAATCGTACTCTAATAGCAAAATTGCCATTGAGAGTTCATTGGACCAAATGTCAAACAAACGTCAAATAATAGTAGAATACCATTTTAACCCACAATCGATTTACGATTGTAACACGATTGAAGAGCAGACTACCAAATAGTCCAATGGCAGTTCAATGGAATGCCATTGGAAAATCATTGGTCTTTTTATATTAGCAGAATACCAATAGTGTCAAATAATTCTATTGAGATTCGATTACGATTCAATTGAGCCATTTGTAAATTAGCGGACTTGGGGCCCTGGTCCGTGAGCACGTAGAATTTTGTCCAATGACCCCAAGCTACCCATCCTTATCGCTCGCGCGTAATTATATTGCTGTCACGACTGTGCGACGGGCGCCCGCAGTGAGTGCGAGCGCGACAGCAACATAATTACGCGCGAGCGATAAGGATGGGTAGCTTGGGGTCATTGGACAAAATTCTAAGTGCTCACGGACCAGGCTTTAGTGATTATGCTATAGGCTCACCAGCTTGAGCGCGGTGTCGCGCTTGTGGGCGCGGTCGCGCGCGGCGTCGGCGGCGGCTTGCTCGGCCACCAGCTGCTTCTCGTAGTTCGCGCACATGTCGCAACGCCGTGCCGTGCCTGCAAGATGAGGATAAAAACTACAGGGTGTTTGGCGGTAGGTTAGACAAACTTAGGGTCAAATGAGCGAACTTGTATCAGAGTAAATACAAATGAGTAGGTCATCTTCATAGAAACGCACCGAGCGCGGTTTGTATGTGAGCGCGCCAATATACGTATGCGGCGCGCACGCACACACTGACAAAATTCGGCGCACCTCACCGCTAAATTTTGTCAGTGTGTGCGTGCGCGCCGNCAAATGAGTAGGTCATCTTCATAGAAACGCACCGAGCGCGGTTTGTATGTGAGCGCGCCAATATACGTATGCGGCGCGCACGCACACACTGACAAAATTCGGCGCACCTCACCGCTAAATTTTGTCAGTGTGTGCGTGCGCGCCGCATACGTGTTGGCGCGCTCACATACAAACCGCGCCTGTGTGTTCCTATGAAGATGACCTACTCATTGTATTTAGTCTGCTTGTATTCTTAAAATGACCTTACCTATACACCCACGAAGTTTGTCTAACCTCCCGCCAAACACGCTGTATATTGGCACAATAAGTGCACATAAAACAACAATATAAACAAGAACTAAAGCAATTACTGAACCACCCAATAGGCTCAGCTTTTATCTTGACGTGCTCGTAAGGGCATAAAACCTTGCCGACATTTCTGAAACATACTATGGTAACGAAGGGCAACTACGGTACCCTACGGCACGACATGCACTTGGCCGGGTTTTTTTCATTTGTTTGTAACGTTGTATAGACTACAGAAAAACATATTCCGTAAAAAAATCACGAGAAAATTATAATTACAAGAAATATTTAACAATTTTGATAACAAATCAAAGATAAGTACCTGCATCCGTCTTGACGTCTCCGCTGGAACCGGTAGGCACCGGGCTGCCCGTTATCGCCGCTTGAGATTTCTATAAACAATATTTTATATTCATAATTCATTTTGAAACTTCTGTTGTCTCCCCTACAGTCATGTACATTCTGGTGTGACCTTAAAAGATCTATTAAATTAAGATGGTGTAAGGCATGAAAGGGCAAGTAATTATTGATACAATATCAAATTATATGTACGCCACTTTGTTACATCACGTATGGAAACTGCTCACCGCTAGATGGCGTTGTATACTTTTAACTCGCGGTGGTAGTAGACTTCTATTCTATTGACTTACATAAGTCATCGGGAACGATCTTTTGATGTACAGGGTGTCCCAAAATTAGCCAAGCCACAATACCGGAGGTGGTGATGAGGTAGATATGCCTGATGACGCATCGGACAAGTCTAATATGATAATCCCAAAACTCACGAAACTTCTATGATGGACATTGGACATACATGTATAGGTTTTTTCGCCGCGTCCTAGACCCATCTATCTCCGGTCTCATGCTATAGTCTGGTCCGTGAGCACGTAGAATTTTGTCCAATGACCCTTAGCTACCCATCCTTACCGCTCGCGCGTAATTATATTGCTGTCGCGACTGTGCGACGCGCGCCCGCAGTGAGTGTGCGAGCAACATAGAACAGAGAAACGATTTATGCGCGAGCGATAAGGATGGGTAGCTAGGGGTCATTGGACAAAATTCTACGTGCTCACGGACCGGGCTTTAATTTTGGAACATCCTGTACAAGTCCGTCGCTTACCAAAGCCTCCTGTAGCTGCGTATCGGTGTCTCGCAGCTTGCCCTTGAGCGCGGCGATCTCGTCGTGCAGCGCCTGGTTGATGGAGCGCAACAGCTCGCCCTCCTCGGCACTCTGGGGCTAAACGACGCATAGCTCAATATAGGGCTTAAGGGCGAAGACTTTTTACGTGTG